ATTTACGAGACGGCGATAAAGTCGCTTCCTTTAATCGGCTCTAATTATCGTAAAGCCCGTTTTAACGGCGCCGCTCAGAGGCGAGCCGCAATCTAATCGCTCTTCACTCTCGCCGATCATTACTTTGTTTTCATTATCGAGGATGCGGACGTCGAGGCGAACGTCGAGGCGGACGTTCTAACGTCGAATTACCCAAATTGAAATTCTAACCCTAAGGTTGAACTTTTAATTTTACAACATAGTAAAAGCTAAAATGGCCTAATTCTAATGATATAATTCACCCCTATTTTGAACATGATGATGTTTTCAATTTCCTTACACGATATTGATTTCAATCGAGTATTATTTACTTACTAACGCGTAACTTGAGAATTGTGTGCGTCTGGCAAAGCGTCTGAAAACGCTTTTTGCTAGAAATCACGTTACAATTTAATGTCTCGAGTCCAAGAATATAATTTGAAGACGACAAAGATTCACTACACTTTTTGTAGATTCGAATGAAGAACGTCAAAGCAGCGGCAAAATTTCGATTCGGGAAGCACCTCAACCGCCGCTTTTATTCCTCGCGCAGAGGATAACGCTGTAAAGATGATACGCAATTTTTAAATTTCTCCTTTTCTCTTTCAAGTGCCGGCTAGATTAGAAGTCCCGAGACGAGAGATAAAGCGATCGCCGCGCGCTCATGAAGCGACGTCACAGGTCGCCGGCGGATTTATCGTCTCTCATCAGGTTCTGTAATGACCGCGCGACCTTTTTTCACGCCGACGCATGCGTGATGATAAAAGCGTCACCTCCGGTTGTGTGTCGCAAATGGTGCCGCCGGGACAATGTTGAGAGCGCGACACCGCGCGCGCGAGGAAGCGCAGTTCCCGTAGCGGTGTCATCCCCATTGTCGGCGGGTTACCAGTGTCATTGAAAAATAAGCAGCCCACCCGGCCGGCTGAATCGACGCTTCGTAATGAACGACGTGTGCACATTCGCCCCGAAGGAGAGAGAAAGAGAGACGACAATGCGAAGCAGAGATATCATCTTTATAATATAAATCATACGCGTTGTGACACTTTTTTCTATGACTTTCACAACGTCTCGTCTCGTATCCAATAGGAAAATGTGTCTCCCGAGAATAATTAAGAAACAAATTCTCCCACTGAACACTGGAATTCCGAAACTTACCTAAAACAAAAAAAAGTGTCACAATCTTTCTGTCCAAGATAGACTCACATGAATGCACGCGAATTACTAAAGCAATAATGACGTCGGATCTTTCCCTATTTTTTATTTTTCTCACAATAGCATCCGCCTGTGTTACTTAGTATTCTATAAATCCAACATCTGTTTAGAATTATTCAGTTTGGACCGAGGCAACGGAACTTTTCACGTTGGATATATTTTTTGGATAAATATATATTTTTTTTTCTTTTCACATGTCAGACGAGCGAGAGAGAGAGAAAGAGAGAGAAAAATTGTCGAAAGTCGACCGGTCGAGCGGGCTGTCATTATTACTCAAGAACATTACGCACGGGACACGCGCGTGTCTTTCGTCACCCGCGGACTTGATTGTTCTATTATGCAGAAAGCGGCTCGGGGTTCGTCGTTAGAAAGTAAAGTGCACTCGCGCGGGCGAGCGAGCGCGTTTAAGGAAGACCGATTGCCGTGTCATCGTGCAACGTTCCCCTCCCTCGCCGGGGATTCAATGTGGAGCGTGCATCCGCGATAATAAATGTCGCAAATAAAACCGAAAGTGAATGCATGGGGCTAGATTGGCGGCTAATTAATTGACATCGTTATGCTCGATCCGACGGAGCGAAGGAAGCGAGACGCGGGGTGAGTGACTTTTCTACTTCGGTACGCAGGAGAGAGAGAGAGAGGTCCTTGCGCTCTCCTCTCGCACGCAAATGACCGATGTGAATCGCTTTCGGCTGTTCTCCCGCTCGCAATTTCACGTATTTCACAGCCTTGCGAAACGATCCGCTTTGCGCTCGATAAATGAGTGAGGGATACGCTTGAGCCTTATCTCGCTTAATCATCGCGCGTTTCCTCCGCCAGGCAAAGGACTATTAATATTGATTTGTTTGAATCAGCACATATGAGTAAAACACAGTCGTTTAGAAACACAGAAGGGCAGGGAGGGAGGGGGAGAGCAATGGGAAACATTACGGCGCAAATGATTTATTAATATGTCATATTATTATCGTATAAATTATAGGTCGCGTCACGCGCGAAATAAATGAACGCTGTTAATTTCGCGAGATAAACTCAAGCAACAATGCGCCGTCCCGCGGAAAACGCTTAAAATTCCCGCGGTAATTTTTTTCTCTCGTTTCGGCGCGCGTCAGGCGAGCGTCGTATCGTTGCGATCTGCGAAAGGCGGCTGCGGCAGGGCCGCGCGATAAATTACGCGGAATCTCGCGGAATCGCACCAACAAATTGCTGGCCGGTGCCTCATTACACCGCGGCGAGCCCGGTAATTGGCGCGATGAAATACCGCCGACAGACCGACAGATTTAACCAGTCCATTCGGCGGGAAACTCGCCCCCCCCCCCCCCNAGAGTCCTCCGAGTTGGAGTCCGGATATTTCGCTTCCTTTACTAACTAGAGTATTAATTCCATTCCTGATCAGGCGGAAATGAGGATTATCGCATAATTTAGTGCGCAACAACCGGTTTTTATTAATTTTCACATCACGTTGATGGAGTGACGCTCTATTTGATTTAAAAAATCTAACGGTCATAATTTGATCAGATGCTCCGGCGCGCATTAATGCACGTTTAAGTTGATAACGCACGGTTCTTACATGTACATAGAAAAAAAAGGAATTAGCTGCAGCGGCTAAATTAGTTGTAGTATATGGACACCTGAAGCTTTAGCAGCGTAAGCAACTTTAATTGCTACAGTAGCGAGTTCTTTTGCTGCGGCAGCAAACGTATTATCATAAATGTCACATTACGTTATTTTTATTATCTCAATTATTTTGTTAATCTCAATATTTGGCGAGTCGGCATTCAACATATGTAAGTAAAGTTAAAATAAGTGGAATTAAAATAACACACTCGTAAGCGTTAAAATAACACATTTTATACTTCGACATCGGTGTGACATATTAAGAATATTAATTTTGTGTTAATTGTTTGCGTACTATTTGCGTTACTTTCCAACGTGTTCACCTTCCGTTAGATCAACACGAAAACTTGCACGGACCGTTTCGGAAGTTCGTGAAGCGCGTTAAATCTCACACAAATTTCACATTGCGTATTATACGGACGGCTAGTTTTCAGCTCGGGGAGCTCATTCTTTTTCCCGTCACGACACATGTCCGGACTCTAACGTGACGGGCTCTTTACGAAAGTCGAGTCGCTCGAGTCGCCGGCCGATAAATCACGCTCGCGGGCGCGTTGGAAAGGAGGGAAAGAGGGAAAAAAATCGAAGGGAGGAGGGAAAAGCATCGCGCTCACGGCGGTCTACGAGCGGTCGTTGCGCGGCTAATCAGGGATACATGACGAGCGATTTTCTTGTCGCGACTGCCCGCTCTTTCCAACTCGGGCATTACGTAAATATCACATACATATATCCCATTAAAAACGATTACATCGATATAATTCCGCTTTGTAACGCTGACTGTCCCCGTGCCGCTCGAGATTCGTGGTGGGACGATAAAAAGAGAGAGAGAGAGAGAGAAAACAGAACGGAAAAAAAGAGATGGGAATGCTGTCGGAAGCGTTGTCAGAAAGCGGGTGCGCCTATGTGCGCGTGTCTCAGACACGAGGTTGACAAGCGGAGTCGAGGGAGCTCGCCAGAGTCTTAACTTTACACACCCGGTGCAAGGATCTCTGGAGACGCACTAAGTCCTCCGCGCGCCAAGCAAGCGTCCGCGACTTGTCATCGACGTAATTGACTTTCTCTCTCTCTTCGCCGAGGATGAAAGAAACCCGGCAGGATCGCCGGCCGTCGGCCGAGCTTCGGACTAATTAAGGAAGTCCGATGTCCGCGGGCTAATTGATAACCGGCCTCGGAACAACGCGCAATTATCTCTCACCTTCTCCCCCCCCCCCTCCTCCTCCCTGCCGNCGTAACGTGTTTTCGAACGGGTCTCCGACGATTTGCGAACGACACGTGGGTGTAATTCAGCCCGTTTAAAACGAGCGCCCGTAAAAAAGCGGATACGATCGCATTTATCTCGAGGATAACAAGGGAGCCTCGCGGAGATAGCCGTTAATCCCCACTCGTGCCGTAAAAGTGTCTTCGTTTACACACGGCAACATTAATCCGGTTTAATAACAACAAGCAGTTACCGAGATACTGCGTTTAATTGGAGTGTATTTTCAGATCTGAAAGAATATATCTCGAGGAGCAACGTTGAGGGGGGAAAAATATCCAAAGGCAAACGAGTATTTCTCCGATGGGTCCTCGCGTGATGTTTAACCAAATTTAAATGATCTCAATTTAAACCGAGTTTGCTCGGTTCAAGTAAACAATACTTGCAAGTAACAATAATCGACTTTCCATCGCTCGAGTTGCGTTGCATTACGGGTAATGGGAGGATCGTAACCTCGCGTGTAACTTCACTGCGTCAGCTTGTGCCCCCCGCGCTTATCCGAGAAGAGAAGGAAGAGCGATCGCGCGAGCTCGCTTCTCCCGATTCGGCGACGAGCGGAGGGCATAAGTCGCGGATTCGCTCGGATTATCGCGTCACATCGTCGCGCTCAAGGTGTTCTACGGAGGTACCTTGAAATCCGGGACTCGGCAGCGCGCATTCGCGAATGATGCATGCGACCGGTGCGCGGCGATCCAACGATCGAGGATGTTCACGAGCGCATCGGCCGACATCGGCGCTATCTCGAAGTCTCCCGCCTTCCCGGATGCGTGTCGATGGGCGAAAAATATCTTTGCCCACGTGTGTGCCGTAACTCGCTCGTAAATATCGGTGCTCGCGATTTAAGCGCGTCGTTTGCACGCCCACCCGTGTGCGACCTTTCTCACGAGCGACCCGTTCTTTGTTTCAGATGAGACGCCGGTTCCCGAGGACGCGGCCGAACACGAGGTAAGAAAAGTCTCGGTGGAATAACAAGTCGGAGGGGGAAGAAGCACGGTCGCCTCGCCGGTGACACAGCCCGAATATGCCTGAGGCCTGAATCAGAATTGGAGATCGCGACGCGCGTCTGAGGTCGGCCCTGAGTCGGGATTTAACAGCCGTATTAGCGGTCGTTACAATTGAAACTATCACGGATCATAGATGCGAATGCAGAAGCGCAATGGAGAAAGCCAATTCCGCACGGCTGTCCGAATCGCATGACTGCTATTTTCTTCGCCCGCTCTCGCGTGCAGGCCGACTGAAACAGATCGGAACCAGATTTCGCGTTAGATCGCGAGCGGAAAGATTTCTCAGTGTAACTGGACCGGACTGGAAAAACTTGGATTCGATTTTATTCGCTCCTCCGCAACTTCCGTGGGAGGGAAAAACCAGAGCACTTTGCGCGATCAAGTTGTGAGAATGTTACGGGAACGTTCGCGAAGTTTCGCTCTTTAATCATGTGTCGATAGCAAGCTGGAAAATTACAGACGCCCGAAGGGCGCAAATGTATCTTCGCATCCCCCGCGGCTCCGTTCTTGCGACCGTCGGGCACGCACAACTTGTAATTCCATCCATCCGATAGGCCGTAACCGCACTTATTGTCATAATAAATGCAAATAGAGTTTCCTGCTCCCCAATGTCCCTCCGGCTAACGCGCGCCGCGTTCTGCCCGCTCGCGGATGACGCGTAATAAATCAGGCGTACGATTATTCTAACTGCAAGATCGTATTGATCGTATTGACAGCGCGTTGTAAATCAATGCCCGGGACAGCGCAAACGAGCAATCGTCAATAATAAACGACAATATCATAATGACGTGCTAATCGACATTGACGTGGCGTGGCGGAAAAAAATCGGCGTGGGCGGACCTCCGCGCGGAGAGAGAGAGAGAGGGAGAGAGGGAGAAGGAGATCGTAAATACACCTGAAACATATTTGCGAAAGAATAGAATAGAAAATTAATGACGCGATTCCGCTGCGCTCGTCAACCGCTCGTGCAACTTTCTAGCTTATTAATTCCCCCCGTTTCCTGGCATTATTTCAGCTCGCCCGTTTTAACGGGAAGGAAAAATCTGACGGAGCGTAACAGATGATCGGGACGGGAATTATAGAATTACAAGCTTGTATCTCTCTCACGATCTCGGTCGCCGAGCTGCCTGTCCGCCGGCGAGCAACTGCTCGCGATTTCGCCGCGGGACCTCCGTGTGTACTTTCGCGTGTCACAACACGCCTCGCACATACTTACGTACGCGTGCGTATTCCGTGCTTCGGCAATAAAGCACTCGCACAGTTAGCTCAGCCGATTCCGCGCGATCTCGAGAGTCACGGATTCGAGCTCCGATTCGCGAATCCGAAACGCGAACGACCGGATGATCCATCGCGAGGCCGCCCCGTCTGATTGCACCTAATTCACGGTATAATTCACGCCGATCGACGGGCCAGATGAGGCGATGGGGCTAATTGGCCGACGCATGCACATACCCCCCTCCTCCCCCGCCGCGCTTTGCATTCGCGCGTCCTCGTAACCGCGGAATAATAGCGTGTCCTTCTTTCTCTCTTTCTCCTCCCCCCCCTCTATCCTCAACCGCTCTTTGTCAATCCCGATCGTAGCGGAGGATATCGAGCGAGGAGGGAGGGAGGGGATAAGTGCGATGCCGGGGGAGGTAATACGTTTCGCGAGATCGAGCGGCCTCTTTTTACGTTGAAAAGTACGCGCTGTTCGATGGCGGCGCGAGGCGGTGGTCGATTCCGGAATTTCAAAGCACACACCTGCCGGTGGTATCCATCAGGTGCGCGTGCCCGCGGAACTAATTACGTCCCGTGATCCGTGTGTAACGATTATAATATACATCTCCCTCCTCCCTCTCTTCCCCCCCTGCTTTCTTGTTATCGCCGGATCGCCGGTGAATTACGCGGCGAACACTTGTCTCGAGAGCGCGCGCGCGCGCGCGGCACTTGTCCACTTCTTCAACGTTACCTAACTTGAAGTAACGCGATATAATCGTGATTGATATTATATATAGCCGTCTGATCGCGCCTCGAGATACATGGACGCGCTATTATTTTCACGGCGGTGGAGAAACGAAAATCGAGAGATCGCCGGTGAGGCGCTACCGTTTAGCCCGGCGGAACGCGAGCGCGTCGTTCGATCGCGCCTCGCAATCGCGCGATCCCGGCCTGTCCTTCCCCCCTTCACCCTCCCCCGGCGTGTCCCGCTCATTTCTGATCGTTCGTTAATCGAGGAATAGTATCGATCTTGCGACCTAGCCGTTGCCCGGCCGTTGCGTGGAAAACGCAACGGAACGGGTGGCGGCGTTTGTTCTAAAATATGTAATCCAACCGCCGTGTACGCGCCGCTGGTATTTAAAACGAGGCGGCGAATCGAAGTCGAGGATATCCCATTAATATCTGCGGAAAATAGAGGAGCGAGCGTTATATCACCGGCTGAGCAGCTGACCCCCTCGATTTTTCATCTCGTAACGGTAATTTGTTTTGTTTAACCGTCGGCTGACTAATTTGCTTAGATACTATCCGGCCACCGGGGAGAAGTGAGCGTTACATTACTGGTAGCGACGTTAGACGCGAAATTTACTACCACCTCGCGGCTGGACACAGCCGCGTAATTTCTACCGAGGAATGCGCCCGCCACTTCCCGTTATCGATGACCAAGCCAAGTGGTCTCTTCGTGTTCATATATTTCGCGAATACTAGTAACTATCCCCCCCCCCCCANCTTCGCACCGTTATCGCCGTTATTACGCGCGCGTTGCAATTAATGCGTTGCGCATTGCGCACGCAGCGAGCAATTTGTTTCCACTAATAGCCGCGCCACTGCTGTCCGTTTATTACCGGCATGCGCGGATGTGCGATTATTATTGCGTTACGTGCCAATAAAGATTAATGAACATTCGAATTCGAGCTTGAAATTTAATCCCGCTCGACTCTCGTGATATCGCAAAGGTAGCGTTTCAATTTGTCCCGCTCGGTAAGGACGATAGCGGGCCGTTTAATTAACATTAGCCCGGGACGGCTGGATAATTAGGCGGCGTGATTAACGGCGACGCATTATTTCGTTTGCCGATACGCATCGAAACGAGAGCCCGTGTTGACTGGCGCACGTGCGCGCTCTCGAGCAAAGTCTATCGCTCATTTCTCATTCGCGGGCCGATGAGGCATCCATCATGCTCATTCGCCGGTGCGTGTTGAATTTATTGTCTACACGTTCGCGTAACATTCGGTACGGCCCACCTCTGATCACCGTCGTTTGTCGGCGGATTTTTCGCGCGTCGCTGATTTATAATGCCGCCTTGTTGCAAAATCTCGACGAGAGCGTTCGCTCCTTCTGACCGAGTAGTGCAAACCGTCGCCATAACGCAACGCGAACAATGCGACCATTGTTATCGCGAGCACCCGAGAACGATCGTTCGTCGCCATTGAATTAACATTTTTGCCGACGCGTTTCATTTCTTTCTCCCACCGCGCACATCGCGGAATCCGTGCATGCGCGAAAGTGAACACCGCCGTTCGCGCGCCGTCTCGCGGCCCACGAAGTTTGCCCAAGTTGATTTCCGACACCCCGTATGTCACCATAATTCAGTCTTCGATAGTTTAACACTGATATTTTCATATCATCGAATTTAAAAATGACTAAAATTATCAGAAATTATCGGAAATATTCAATGTTAATGAACGTATAGTGAATAGAAAATAAGCACTATTGTTAACATTACTATTAAAACGATTCAGAATTTAACATTGTTATTTTATCGTAGATCAGAATAGAGATGCAAGTAGTTCAACCTGCATTTATTTCAACGTGGGTCATAAATCTGTCACAACCGGCGTCGTAGTTTCAACGAAGATTCTCCAGAGGCAATCCGCTTTATTCGGAATTTATCGATCGACATGCTTTACAGAGAGATTATGATTCCCGTGTAATTACGCATGCATTAAGATCTCCATCGAGATTCGTGGGTTGATCGGAATTTCACGTTAAGTACAGGCTAAGTTCAGGGCCGGTGCTTAAAGCTGTATGGGCTTTTCCGCGCTCTTCAACTCGGCCGGCGTCAAATCTGTGACAGCCGCCGGCGCGACACGGCAGCGCGATACGTCGCGCTGACGTCGTAAAGGCGAATACTACTGGTTACGCCGGGCTCACCGTGGCCTGACATATTCGTAACAATGCTAGGCGTGTCGCCGGCGTGTTGCAACCGATTTCAACGGCTGTCTATGCACCTCGTTCGTACGTATTGCCGACGCGCGAGTGTGCGACGTCACAATCGAGCCGCGCGCGCGTGTGCCCGCTACACTAACGCACAGCTCGTGTATGACATACCGATAATAACTAGTCTTGCAGGCGGTCGCCGGCACGAAGATGCCTTAAATGTCAAGGCGAGGACACGGTGGGGTTGCCCGAGCGAGCGAGTGCACGGTTGATGCACTCCGCGAAAGGAGCTGCTGCACCGCGCGCCCATCGAACCCTCGCCCCTCCTCACCCCTCTCTCACTTAATATAAAATATAAAATGAATAGTAAATGATAAAGTGAATAATTAAAATAAAATTAATGGTAAACATATATAATGGATTATGCGCGATTTATGCGTTCTCCGAGAAGGAAACGAAAACATTTTGCGCTCCATTCGTTAGGGCAGAAATTAAGATTTCTAGCGGGGAAACAGGGGGGGGGGCGGGGGGCGGGGTTAGGCAAATTTCTTTAAGATGAGAAAGAGATGGCTGAAACTATTACGTACGGTGAATCCTACGATTCATGCGCTCTTTTATGCTAGGTACTTTCGATTTTTGCGATGCGACCCTTTAGAGACTCTCTCCCGGCGCAAAAGCCAAGAATTGCCGCACCATTTCTTTCACGTGGAAGAGATCGTTCGGCCAATTATGTACGATGAGTCTACGATTCATATTCTCTTACATCCAAGTAATTTCGACTTTTGTTTCAACGTATACCTTCCAACTTTGGCGATGTGTGGTTAACGGTGTAATGACTCTACGCGAGAAACTTCGAGATATTAAAGCACCTTACCGAAAAGGCGAATGATACTTTCATTTCCTTAGAATCGTCAGATGGACTTATCTAGGCGATTTGCCGATTCCGACGGTTCTTTTCAGCAAAGGACATATGAAATTTTCAATAATCCGTCATTGATCAGCATGCAACTGATTACTATACGCGAAGAGCCGAAAATGCGCGAGGTTCTCGGGTTTCATTTTCAAAGAGCGCGTAATTATATATCTCTGCCACTCATTTTGCACCGAGCATGGGAAGATGGGAGTTAATTGGACAAACGTTAGAATAATCGCCGTTGATTAGTGCGGCCGCTGCATTGTGATTACCTCGAAGTGATTCCGCGAAGAAGGTTGTAGAAAGTGTTCCGGTGGCGCGACGCGGTCTGTATTCTCCTTTAGGAATAATTTCCCGCGGACGCGAGATCGGGAGAAAAGAAAGAGAGAGAGAGAGAGAGAGAGAGAGAGAAGGGGGGGGGGGGGGGGNTAAGTAGCTGGCTGATTTTCCAAGATCCTTGTTTAAGTTCCGCTAACGCGTAATCGACAATTATCACGTAACGTATTGAATCGGCGCCGAACGAAAGTATCATTCGTAGAAACGGCGCTCTGAAACAATACAGAGAGACCATGAAGCGTTACGTAACGCGCGATCGTGCAGACGAGGGGAGGGGGAGGTTAATTCCCCGTGATATTCATATTACGAGCGATCATTGATAGTCATTTCGGCGGTCCGGAATCGATTTCCTAGCGTTAAAGCCGGAGCGACCGGTCGTTACGCTCGTTGCACGGCTCGATCCTCCGGTTACGCGCCGTCTGGAAGCGCGATGAAAGTCCGCGTGCATCCCGCGGGCCTGCGGCGAAGTAAGTGCGTTTCTCGCTGCGACTCTCGTAAAACATTCTTTTCTGCCCGCGCTCCGAGCGCTCCGACCGTAAAGAGAAAGAGAGAGAGAGAGACTTTCTCCGGCTCGTATCGGCGTTTATTGTTCGAGAGCGGACGTCAGCTTCCCCCAGTATAATTGCGGAGAAACTTTTCCCCCCCTGTTGCAGGACTCCGTGGCGTCGGCGTCGGAGGTGAGCGAGGAGTACGACGACTCCGACATGTACATGGAGCCGGACGAGACGACGAGCCTACGGCCGGGACTCGAAGCGGGGACGACGAGGAAGAGCGACGAGGAAGAGACGTCCACCGAAACTGCCGGCGAGAAGCGGTCCGAGGCGAAGCCGGCGGCCGACCAAGAGGCGAGGAACAGCGAGGAAGCCGCGAGGTTCGCGGCGGACGGCGCGAGCCTGGAGACCGAGAGCCAGAACTTCTTCCCGTCGTTCGCGGAGCTGTTCGCGAACCACCGGCTACCGTTCGCCGAGCAGCAACGGTACCGGCCGAACAGGTTCCTCGGTTACTTCCAGCGCGAGCGGAACTACCAGGCGGCCGCGAGCGCCACGAAGGACCAGCACTCGCTGCTGGGCTCCGGTAACTTCGGGGTGATCCGCGGCGGCACTTATTACCCGGAGGACAAGGAGAACGACGAGTACTCGGTGGACGAGAGCCTGTACAATCCGTACTACCACGGGCGCGGCCGCGCCCAGTACCACAGGAACCCGAAGCCGCAGCCGGTGCGCGGCGGCGACTTCTTCGCGAACTTCCGCGACTTCGCCGACATCACGGCGCCGCCCAAGTCGAGTTTCTCGCATCTGTCGGTGGTGTACGCGAACAGGAACGGCAGCGACACCGTCGTCGGCCGCGTCACCGAGCCACGGAACATCATCGAGACACTGAGGATGCTGGAGGAGGAGGAGGAGGAGGAGCGAGGGAACGCAGGGGAGGAGGAGGAGAAGGAGGAGACGCTCACCACGGAGGAAACGCCGAGGAAGAAGCAGAGCAAGGGCAAGCGGAAGCTGATGAAGATGAAGCAGTACGAGGAGGACAAGGCCAGGCGGTCGCGCATGTCCGTCGAGCCGCTGCTCGCCCTCAGCTGAGCCCCGACGAAGGTCGGAAAGTGAAGTGCACAAGTCGACGCGGACGCGAACCTCGGGATTTCCTTCCGAAACGCGGGATTTGGCCTCGAGAGATCGGAGCCAAAGTCTGATAGGTCGTCGTCGCTCGCGTATCGTATCTCGCTCGACGAGGGTGCGCGGAAAATCGCGGCAGCAGGAGAAAGGGAGAAGGAGGCGCATCCCCGCGTGAACTCGAGGACGACGCAAGTAGCGCTCTCTTCTTCTCAGCGGGCGACTCGGAAACCGTACAACGGTGGGAATTCACTTTAACGGCGCACCTGCAAGTTCGAGCGTGTGATTTTTGCACGGCGCGAACGTCGAAAAATGACGTGCGTTTGAAGCTCCTTTCACACGTTTCCCGCCGTTTTCAGGTCACGTCGTTCAAAACGCTCGGGCGTGTTAAATGATATCAGTTGGCGCGGTCCAATCGCGCGAAAGGACGTGATTCGAAACGTGTAAGAACAGCCTCGGCTGAAATAACGCACGTGAACTTGCAGCACGATCGCCGGCCTGGGCGGTGGTCGATTCCTAATGTCGGTGAATTTCGACGTCGGTGGTCCGTGAGCACGCGAAGGGGGACGAGACAGCTCGAGGAAGTGCGTTTGTCAGCTGGTGGTCTGGCAATTACACGCGCTAAGTTTCCACATCGCTTCTCGCGCGGGAATCGAATGCATTCGGCCGATACCGAAAACCGGCGAGGTACCGATTTGGTACTGAAGTACCGATTTCACGTTTACGATACCGATGTCTCGAACAGGAGGTGCTCCACTAACGCGGAGCGTAAATAGCTCAGTGGTGAAAACCGCTACCTGGCGAGGGAAGACCCGAATTAATATCCATGATACGTTACTCGACACCGAGGTATAATTTATACTTCAGCACGGAGAAAGCAAGTTTTGCTAGAACAGCAAATATTTGTCAACGGAATGACAGCGAAAAAGAAATATGTGTTCAGACATCAAAGAATTTGTTCGAACAGCAGAGAAATCGGTTTGAGAGTATTAATTATCCAGCTAATAAATATTTTTTCATCGCGCAGATACTCTTCCTCTCGGTACGGAAAAAGTCGCTGAACCGGTACTTCGTCGGCTAATTATTTCCTGCTTGCGAAATTGGAAATGATCGATTAGCTCTCTATTATTGAGATTACACGCGGAAGTCCGAGCATGGGAGACGCAGAGCACTGGCGTTCCTATTTATCGGCCGGTCGTCGTCCTCATTAAATCCGAGATTCGCGTGGTCTCTCGGACGTTTCACGACGATTCTCCACGTTAGCCGGTAATCCCCGCGCGGCTTTGGCAGATATCCTGCGGCAGATTTCGCTTCTTACTTTTCTCTCATTCTCTCGAGCGTACAAAGCGTCGACCAGGACACGTCTTCTGCACGGCCACCGCGCGCTGCGCCTACCTGTCGATCGTGCGCGACACCTTCCGGGGAACCCGGATTTTCGGCGAGGCGTTCGCGGAGCCAACGATTACTCACGGAGACCTTTTACGTTGATTGAATTCGCGGCCGCTCGCTCTCGTACGCGAACGTCACGCTCGAGTAAGCCGCGATAAACGGCTCAAACGGCTAAATCCCATGACAGAGCGCGCGGCTCGTGCGCCTCGTTATCCCGTAATTACGCGAAGCGCGGTAAGCACGATCCGACGTTTCGAATAGGCGAGCTCCGTTCCTCTCGGCTACGATTTTTTGCGCTCCTTCACTCTCACCCGCGCGCTCTCCGGAGGTGGTTCCTCTCCTTTCGTTCCGGACTCGTTCCGCGGAATTGTCGCCGAGCCGAGCGGGCTGGGAGGAACAGAAACGGCGGGACTTGCGAGAGAGACACTTACGGTACGCTACGTTGTAAATAAATTATATTCGATTCGCTTCTTACGCGTTACTTTTAGTGTTTTAGTCGAAGTTAGGGAAATCGGACGAGCGGTTCGTTCGCGGTATATATTACGTTGCCACGTTGACACGTGTAACTCGCCCGAGCCGAAATTTCAGTCTTACATTGGGTCTGTTTATATTGAAGAAAAGGAAAATGAAAGCCACTCAACTGGCTCAAACGGAATTCTTATTTCGGTTTGGGCAAACGAATGTTTCGCTTGTGAGAACCGAAGTTTGGTTCTTTCAACCAAAGTTTCGGTTCTCACAAAACCGTAACATTCGTTTGCCCGCATCCAAAGCAAGAATTTTGTACGAATGTACCAAATGGTTTCTCAATATAGTTCTACTTGAGTCTTCAGGGTGGAGGAGACGGAAATGACTTTCCACTTGCAGCATCAAAGGAGCGTAATAAAAGACTCGATGTGGAAGTAAAATTTCGACACGGAGCCTGCCGCGCGTCGTCAACGTGGAATTCGTCTCGCGCGATCGGATCGGAACAGTTTGAGCGGAGATCCGCGCATGTTATCGAGAGCTATACTAAATAAAGACTGTCCGTTTGATTCTTTCCTTTTCCCTCGTATTCGCTATTAATTTCACGACGATTACGCACCGATTGCTTCTGTCCGTGTTTGCAGTTTCAACGAGGCCGCCGGGAGGCCGGTCTCGGAATTTACATGTAAGTGCTGCTTAGGGTAATAAGGGGGTATCTCCTTATCCATCTCTCGACACTCGCGATCACTGTAGAATAAAGAGAACACTCGAGGAGATCAGTGTTCTCGCGCGGAATCCCGTGCGAGAGGCCTCTTTCGCCCCGGACAAAATTCGCGGCGACGATCGCGCGCGCCGCGTTACCTAGCGAATAAGAAACGACGGTGAATCGAACGGGAGGAGCCGCTCCTCCGGCGCGGACCTCGATTCGTTGTTGTTTCGCTTGTTGTTGATTATTTCCCCACAGAACTGTATCATTAGGCTATACACCGTCGAACCGTCCGAAAAATGTACGTACATCCCGCGCCCCGTTCGCCACACACTGCGCTCCGAAGGGGCGCGATGGACCAAAAAAATCAAATAAAATATATTTTTCGAAATAAACACTACCCGGATCAACCCTCCCTGTGTGCGTGTGTGTGTGTGTGATCCTACGTTAAGAAAAGTTGTTCGATTAGAATACGCTGGTTAATCAAATACGGTGGCCACATGACACCACAATATTATGTGGTGTAACATGAAAATCTGAGTGCAACAAGTTTATCCCCGCGTCACAACATAACAAACAATTTCACGTAGGATTCAAATTCAACGGTTAATTCAATTCGGTACGTATATATTCTCTCATAAATGTAATGAAAAAATTGCGAAGCTTCCATCGGCGATTGTCTCACATCATGACAATTCTGTAAAAGCTCATGATAAATGACTTCGATACTTTGAAGAACGAGACTCGCTTGGCGATTACGATGAGAATCTCTTCGTCCGTCGAAGATACAAGGCGACAAAAAGTATGAACGTAATAAATGATGATACAAAGCGGCACGTCACATTGAGGTGAGAGAAAATCGTGAGAAGCAGCTTTCCACAGGGAGCGCCGTTCACAGCTTCTTCACGCATTTCTTCAGCATCCCGATCATCTTGCCGATACCTTCATGGATCTCGAAATAAGTGGCGCACGTGTACAACCAAGCCGGCGTGCTAAACACATTGTACTTCTTGCAGCGCGTTACGCCTTTCACGTCTTTCATCTCCAGCTTGGCGCCCATATCTCGGACCTTCTTGATAACTTCGCCGTGCGGCCATTTCTCTTTGGGTGCTGCGGAATGATTTTTAAATGTCACGAGAGAGAATAAGAGAAGGATCATCACGCATGATCGTCGAATGATCGTCATCGACTCACATTCCTTGCCGAGAGTGACTTTCACACCCTTCAGCACTTTAGCGACAATCGCGCTGGCTATGCACATGCTGCCGATCGGTTTCTTCTCGCAATAGAAGTCCTCGATGAGCTTCGCCAGGTCGGGCAGCACCGTGCAATTCGCGCCCTTCGAGGCGAAATCGCTCCTTCGGGAAACAGAAGCGACAGCTGGATATTTGTTTGTTATTTTTTTCCTCGGACTGATTAGCCGTCTTTGCTACCTCGTTCGAACGGAGAGATATCGCCTCAAGAAAACTCCGGATAATTTAGATATCAAAGGAAAAACGATATCGAGGACTCGGTGATTAACCAGTAAGAGTGAGTAGATTAATAAGACCCGTCGTTGGACGTCGGGCGTGAGAATTGAAATCTTAAGATAAAACTGCTCAAATTGTTTCAATATAAAAGATATCAAAATTGATTAGCTATTAATTTTATCACTCAGAGTATACGCCAAGTATCAAAGAGCCGTGTGATACTACGTACACACAGAAAAATGCGACACACGGTCGTTTATTAGAAGAATAACCGATTGCGGTTGGTCAATTTGCTTACAGCAAAATTCCAGACGAAGGATAAGCAATCGCCTATTATTTTTTTTTCTTTCTTAACGGTAGAACGATATTTTTTTCTGTGTGTATCTATCACAAGAGCGGCATTGTGAAAGTGATTTTTATCGCGCTGTTCCGTCCCTTCATTCCCGTCATTCAATTACTCCGTTATCATCCGCGCACGTACATGGTGCGCGCGGCGCCGAATCCGCCGGGCAAGATAAGCGCGCCGTGTGTGCAGGCTTCGCATTCGCACAGAGGTTTTATGCACGACCTCGCCAGTCTGGCAGCCTCGACGAGAGCATTCCTGGAGGAGTCGTTATCGTCGATTTCTTTGGTGAGATGATTGACCGGCCCGCAGATCGGGACGTCCGGTGCGTAGAACAGCGGCTTCATGCCTTTCTGACGCAAATGGATGGCCGTCGAGATGGCCTCCGAAATTTCCGTGCCATCGAGCGCGCCGCATCCGCACAGAATCTGGAGTAGTACGCGGCAGAAAAAGGGGGGTACGTTACGCAGGACCGTTTCGTCATCGGTCGGACTGTCTCCAGGGACGAAGTCCTGCTACTACTCACTGATATAACGGCAGATATTACGGCATTAGCGCACAACGCTAATTGGAAAATAAAAGAGAAATAGCTAATTGGTATACAAGAACTCTTTGCGATTACGAATCAGCGTGTGTACTGACGTACGTTCGTTAGAATACAAATACATATAGACATGCGAATATATACGTAAGTATGTACGCATACATATACGGGTATACACGGAACTCGGAAAGCATAAATCGGCGGGAGTACGCGGAATCTCTCTCCGGGAACGACGCTGGTTTATTTAGAGCGATCCCGAAGCGGACGCATTTCGCGAATCCGACAGTGTAAAAATATATTATTAGCGTAAAAATTTAATAGCCCGGGCAGTAACGACTACCGCCGTCTTTTCTTGAGATGGTTCTTTTACATAGAAAAACCCCGGCCGCTTTCCGCCGCGGGCGGCGAAGAAACGCCGTACGGGCCGTTACGTCACCGCGGCGCGAAAGTATAGTATATCGACGTCGCTTTTAAACCGTATGCAAAACCAAGCGAGGGAAAAGTTTTTAATGAGCGATGTGGTATCACGAATCCCGAAGCGGGTATAACCGTATCTTAAAATCGTTTCTTACTCGGGAGAGAATCGAGCGGACGATTATCTAATAAACGTTTCCCTCGTCGGCTGTGTTACGTTACTTTTTACGAGACGAGACGACGCGGCGCACGCTCGAGATTGATTTACTTTGAGAGCACAGTCTTCGTCCTCCCCGTTTCCGTCACGCATAAGTGCCAGTTGCACTTTCATCAAAACTGACGATACACATTTGAGCAAAAATATTGGGTACTTGTAACGATCGTACTGAAGGAATTGTAATTAGGTGAACCGTTTTTTCTAGCAAGAGCTATTATAGCGCCGGTGATAACAACTTTGCATATCGCTAATACCATTTGTGCGGTTAAAGTACACAAAGGGTAATAGTCGAGACAGAAAATGACTATAATTTCTCTCAGCGTGGAAACAACAAAAAATACTAATCTCAGCTGCACCAAAGTTAACGAGCGAAATAACGAAATATCCCCGTACACCGTATTCTTGGCAAGAATCAATCGATGCAACGGAAACTATTGGAATAAGATCTGTCTGGGTCGGGAAAAATCATCACGTATAAACAAATACACGTAATACGTGGAGATTTCCGTGACGAATGCCTTTTCATACGTTACGATTGTGTCACGTCTCCGTTTTATTACGGTTCTCCTTTACTCGCAGCACGAGAGAGATCTGCACTGCGAAATGCGTTTACTACTGTAATATCATGATACCTACTACGGCCACGGGCACAGGTTCGCAGCTACCACTCGCCTTGATTTTCCCGGAGACAATTCGCGATATGTGCAGGTTATTGGTAAGCGTAGACACGAGGACCGGAGTGTCGCGTCGTAAGACGAGAGCCGTGACTCGCGGTCGTAGCATATTTTCTCTCTGATTACGAAGGAGGAGCGGTGAGAATTTTCCCGAGTTTATCGACCGAATGTTAGCATACGGAAGTACAATTTTGATGAATAATTTTCAGAGGAACATTTCTTCGCGAGATACGTCACTGCGATTTTGATTTGTCACCGTCGCTATGGACGAGCGGAAACAAATCCATCCGCCGTTCGCGAAGATGGCGATCGCACGGATATAATCAGTATCGGTGAACCGTGTACAGTGTCGGTATCGTGTGTGCTATACTGCTCCCTGGATTGAAATTTTTACTTTTTTATTACATGATTAAAAGCAAGGCGAATAGTGACTGTAAACCCTGTAACCATAACAGGCTATCATGACATTACGTGGTAATAGTACGCCTTTTGCAAACCTTCTCATGCGGCGAATAAACTAGAATCGCGACAAAACGGAGGTGTGACACAATCATAACGCATGAAAAGTCACCTGCCGCGGAAAGGGACCGCAAAACCGCGGAAAAATAAAAAAACCGGACTTTTAAAACTATATTTGATTTAAAATTATATCCGTTTAAGTCGAACATATTCAAGTCAAACAAACAAGAATATTAGATCGAAGATAACGTTCTCTCTCTCTCTCTCTCTCTCTCTCTACGCGGAGTGCATAAGTGTAAAGCAATATTCTGATTGGTTCTTCAGCCTGAGTTTACGTCTTATGCTTACGTTTACGCCAATCCGTGTGCGAAAGCCCTAAAGGCCGTTCGACAATAGCGCAAACATAGACTTCGGGTTGTGGGAATAGTAGTAGTAATAGTGAACGTTGTACAACAGATTAATCTACATACGCAGCAAAGATACGTCATAACTTGATCGCGGCAACTAATCAGAATGCAGTTAACATGACGCTCATTTCCATAACACCGCTTTAATTGGCCGGCTCTTGCGCCTCACACTGCCGTCGTGAAAGATGAAGTTCAACCATCTTTCGCAACATACAACACACTTGACAACCGATAGTAGCAGTTTACAACTGCGTCTTACGACACGTCACAACCAACTGCGTTTGCACTATTGCAAAAGCGGCCTCAAAGTCTTGTAATTCTCCGTCTAGGGAGTGACGTAGCGCATGTGACGTCGACTGTGCAATAACAACGAAAGCAGCGACCCAGTAAGCAAGAAATCATTAACACGATGTGATTACAATGACATATCACAACACGTAACGTTTTCAAATATATACTTCTTAACTATGTATACGACGTCGTCGTTAACAATATTTATATTTACATCGATTACAATCCAAATAATTTACACCCGCAAACATAAAGAAGAATATTTCTGCATCGTAACTTGAATATTGCGGGATATTATATTATCAAGTAAGAGTGTTAAAATACCTATAAGATATGCGAGAAAATGTTGATAAGATCGGAATTGAACGAATGATTTGAAAAGATCGATTTAACGTATCTCGGAGCTCTCTTCGCGGCGGCAAGGACGCGATCTTTCTTGTCAACCGCGGCCGGGCGTCCGCGTGGTTACGGCGCTTTTCGCGAGAGTGCGGATTCATTCGGGAATCCAGCCAGCGACCTCGACGCCGGGAGCAGGAAGTCGCTCGCTCCGTCGATACCGGCTTTTCGCCGTAACCACGGTCGGTTGAAGTTCCTCTCACCTGGCGAGTTCGGGAGCGAGTTCGGGCAGCCGGCGTGTAACGGGAAAGGGGATTAGTAGCGCGAGCAAGATAAAAGGATGAGGGACGCGGGTGGAGATGGAGTTAAGAGGAGAAACCCCGCGCGGCGTCTTCCCGTGCCCTTAAATAAACATCGGCAAGGTAGGCTGAACTTACTTTATGGCTCGTATAAGCTTTATTGTGCTCTAGAAGCAATTTTCGCTCAGACTATGAATACAAAACACAGGATGGTGGCGCGCGGTGGAGGCGAGATTTAACAACGCCGCGAGGAAAAAAAAGCAGCGGCCGCGCGCGCGATAATATTTATCGGCGTCGGCTCATTGAAATATAAAGTAGTTCGGGAATCCGGGGTAGAAATTGATTTTCCACCGGGCGCGTACCGCGCGCGCGACCGATCCCGGCGTCGGAGAAGAGATCCCGCGCCGTGATGCTCGCGATGTTGTGAATTTCTCCACCGATCGACGTTAGTCACTTGATCAGCGCGATTCGAGGGTGAACTTGCGATCGCACGATATGCGGCTACGAAAAAGTAAACGGATGAAGCACAGCCGGAGAGCGTAATGAGAAGTGTATAAAAACGTGGAAGATATTCAGAAGATCTGCGGGGTCGCATACGAGGATAATTGTTCGATGGAGTTTTCCTCCTCGTGTACATGCGTACGCGTGTTCTACCCTTCGTTGGCTTGTTTTCTCGCAGCAACCATTCACGGAAACGACAAACAAAAATTGACGGTAAACTCAATAGTCTCCTATGCTTCCGATTTACGTAAGAAAGAAAAAAAAAAAATTAGTAAAAACCGTAGTTTCTCGCACTGTTTGATCTTTCATGAACTATCAAGTTTATCACCAACTTTTACTTATCCCTTCCGTAGACTGCCGCCGGAAAACCAGTTACCTCATTGGATCATGCCGATAACAACAGCTGTTATCGCACGGACTCGCAACTTTCTCTTTTCCGAGCAACGGACGAGATTAAAGCGGCGTGTAGCGTTTTGCGGAAAAACGGTGGGCGAAGAGGAGCGAGCGAAGGGGAGAGACGCGCTTAGGGCCTCGCAGGCCTAACACGTTACTGTCAGAGTTTAAGCGATATATCGTCGCGCGACTCGAACGCGAAATTTAAAGTCGGCCGGCATTACGCCGACCGATAAGGGAGAGGAGAGGAGAGGGAAGAATCCTCGGATCTCGCATAGGATCGCGCGTAGGGCGAGAGCGGAATCGACAATGACGCTTATCGCGCCGCCTCGTACGTCACACAACCACCGCTTTATTATAATTATCAGCGCGAGACGAGCGCACCCCGGAGCGTTGTTTCGCCGTGCGACACCATTTCCACCGATCCCCCCCTCCCCCTTTTCCGCGTACGAAGGCTCACGCATAATCTTATGTAAATCCCAAGCCGCCCTTATGCTCGCGCGTCCTTACATCCACGAAAAGCGTCGTACACAAGCTCGCCCGCTCTTCTCGGGTTACGCGCGGCGAAAGGGATGCGTAGGCGACGGTTCGGCGCGCACGGGCGCGGGGCTTATATGAATGTTAAAATAAGTTTGAAATTGTCGCGGACAAGTTCGGCCCCGTGGGAGGGTACCCGTCGAGTAATTTCACAGCGCCGGCGGTTTCGACCCTTCGGCGAGTTTGCAGCCAGCAGGGCGGGCGGATTCGCAGAAACTTCTGCGGCGTCGCGACTTCCGCCACCTTCGCCGATAGCTCGGCGATCGTTCGCCCTGGCCCCTGGTAGAATGCTACGCCGTTACGCCGACCCTCCCGGCCGATTTTCCGCGGGAAACCGGAAAAATCAGGCAGCCGGGGGAGACCTCGACCTGGTCGCTCGCGAGACTGCTCGACCGACCCCGCGTTTATCTTCGGAAATCCTTTATTCCTTTAAAGGGCCGACAAAGTCGTGGCAAATACGCAAGTTATCTGATTAAGGGGGAAGTACCAATCGTACTTAATTGTGGACATTCTTATTGTTTCGGTATTTAAACACGAACGTTAGTCTTGAAATTATTCGTATTTAAAGAGCAAGACGACAACCTCAAACACAAAATATTCGTATATAATCAATCTATGTACACATATTTTATGTTGCAAGTTTGAATATTCGTATTTAAAGATCGGAACAATAAGAGTATGTGTGTCCGGTTAGATCCAGGTAATTAATAGATCATAAGGAATTCGTTCACAAAGATGCAGCGTTTATCGTTAAACGTAGACTTCAGACAACAGCCTTGAAAATTTGTCGCAGTAAGAGCGATTTTGATTCGCGAAACTGGTCACTCCGTTGCATTCATTTGAGAGGGAGGGGGGAGGGGGATGGTAATTTCGAATTCCTCTCACCTTCGTAGAACCGCCAAAGTACAACAAAATACGCGAATTATCTAATTGATAATAAATTACGAGGTATTCCGATATAAAGAATTCGAATGACGCACATGGCGTTCGACGTTGAACACAGCCTCGAGGCGATTCGTCGCCTTGAGGGGGGGGGCGATTTCACCCGGAGATATCGATTCAATAACCGATGAAACTCGCGAAGGAGACTCGCTGATAGGAAAACTAACGAAGTTCCGCGGGCCGAGGCGCGAAACGAAGGAGAAGGAGGAGGAAGGGGGAGAGGAGGGGGGAGGAAAATTCGCGATACCGCCGAGCGAGAACGGTCTGACGGTTCT